GGGGGGAAGGAGCTTATTCGCAGTAAAATACAGTAGTTAGAAATCCCTGCCTATGTCACCTTGGTATCCAACATTTTTCCAAGTTTTCCAAGTTCCAAGTTATATAGGATAATGCGTGATTATGTACGTACTCATAGTAAATGACTCTTCTTCAGGTGTGTTCCCAGAGGTCTGACCGCCTCAACAACCTTGGGACTATCATGTCACTATATAGCCGTGGAACGTTCGGCAAGGACAGCTTCCAGTGGACAAAGTGTGTCATCAAATATCTCCTGGACGTGTACCTTCCTGCGTCCTACAGTCTCATCTCCTTCCTGGTAGAGGTAAGACTTTGACCCTTTAAATAATTAATGTTTATTAAAATGTCTCATGTTGTCTAGTTGTTGGAATGTGATGGTTTGCTTTTTGTTGAGGGAAAGAACAGATCGTACATTTCTGTTGTATAGGCGATGGATACACCAACCAACCAAGAACGTTGTTATAAACTAAGATCATGGAAGGACAATCACCCTTGAATGATTTCAATCAAGTCTTTTTGCCATACTGTTAGAATGATTTGGGACCAACCATGGCATGATATAAACTTCAAATTATGAAAAACTGACCAAATTATTCACTTTTGTTGGAATCGTTGCCTGTCAGAACACAAACACAACGCACCATTTGGTAAAAATTAATCATGGACCTTAAGAAACCACAAACTAAGGAGGTTGTATAACATTGATGTAATTGTTTTGATCTTGAATATGAGGACTGAAATTAATTTCTATTATTGATAGTATGCAATTACACAGTTCTGTTCAAAACTTATTCCCCAAAATGCCCTACCATACAACATGAAATAGGTTTTAATGGGATTGTGTTGCGTACCTTCATATAAAATGATGCATTCCAATCATCGATTCTATGTTATATTTGTAGGTACTGGAGAAGGGTCCCGGGACAAACCAACTGTCTGTCTTTCAGATCCTACATTGTATGGTACACTACATGGACATTAACACCACTCCAGCGTCCTCCCTCAACCCAGAGCTCTTCCATACCATCTCCAGACATGTCCAGGTAGCAAAGACATATAATGTCCGACAAGAAATAGGGTTCCATATAAAAGTGCAAAAAAATGAGTTTTAATGAAACTTTCAAAATTATGTATTTCAAGTTCATATCTACCTTTTATTGGCCCTAAAGACCTCTTTTGTGTTGTTGGGCGCTTTAATAACTCGGTAAATAAAATTTCAAGTTCATGAAATAGGAATATTTAAGATTGCAGGCAAATATATGAGACATAATGACCCGTTGCCTAGGAGTCGGTGTTCAAATATGGCAAAAACAGTTAGAAAAATTGTCTTCTGCAAATCTGAACTAGTTGGATCAAAGTTGTGTCCTATAAAATCTAGCCAACTGGTCATGTTGATCCTGGTTTAGGTGATATATAGCTATATCCTGCAGTGAAATGTTTATATAACAAGGTCTATGAGTAGATGTAGTATTCTAAGAGCTGTTTAAACCATGAGTAATTAGGGGGCATCGTAGGGATCAAAGTTCAATGTACTTTTTACAGGGCTTCCATTGGAGGGAGGCATTAAAGATCCTGAAGCTGGCAGTAGGGCGCTCATCCACGCTGACTGCTGCTCCGCCCTCGGCCCACACCAGCGAAGTCGGCACATTCATGTCGCACACGTCCTTTGCTGAGGCAGAGGTCATTACACGCAAGGAGCTACCAGGTCAGTTTAACGTAACAAATAAGTTAGGGAGGTGAACAAACAGAGTATAAAAAAGCAACACTGAACATTATGGCTGCTTTACACATTCTTACAATTGAGTCTGATAAGTGCCTCCTTATTTGTTTGCACTTTTTCAAGTACCCTGGGTGATAATGAGGCTTGACATTGTCTGTGTTTATTCACCATGCCTTCTTTTGTAGGACGGACATTGGACTTTGCTGTAGACTTCAGCGAGGTTGGCATCATAGGGAGGAAATATCTCAACACAGAAATCCACGGGTCTCTGGACGGCATTCCGGAAGTCCAGTCCTCTCCGGCACGGAAAGGAAACCAGGATCATGACTCGGTCTGGAAGAAACCACAGAACTCGCAGGTAGAAAATCAGGTTTTTGTTCGTAATGGCAAGGAATTCTAGGATTTATTCTCTTTTCAGAATAAGAATTGTAAACTACATGTGAGCTATCATTATTAGAATTTATCGATTTTCCTTTGTTTAAAGCCAGTCTTGTTAACAAGAATTAGGCTACGCTCTTGGAGGTGGGGAGTAAATCTACGGTATAAAGGAATTATTTCTTTATTTCCTTCCAAAATCTTCTCAAGATATATTATAGTCCGAGGTTTATTCAAAGGAAATGTATACCTTAGGTGTCATTGCAAATTGTTTAAATGAAAATCCTGTAGTGAGGAAAGGGGCTATATTCTAGGTATCAAGCTTTCTTTGACTGCCTAATGCATTTGATTTATAATACGTTCTGAGAGAGTTAAATAGGACATGAAGTCTGGCAACTGAAATCTGTTAAATCCATGAGTGTTGGATGTGTTACAGACGAGAGTGCGGGAGAGGCTGGCAGAACTGCTGACATGCTACGGCCAAAAACGCCTGCCAAAGAGTCCATCGGTATGTACACAGACTTTGGTCACTTCTCTTTGTAGCTCTGTATTGTGTGCTGGCTCTGATAACCAACATTGTTTGTGTGTGATATGTGAACCAGTAGAACATCCTCCAGATCATTGTATACAGTATTTAGTACCAGTAGGTCTAGTCTCTGTTACCCTACACATAATAGTACACAATACTTAGTA